TCAATTATTTTAAAAAATTGTTTACAATATTCTACAGGTTAAACTATTAAGGATTCTAGTCACTTATTTATATTGTGATGGTTGAGATGGTGGTGAATATTTGGCTTTATAAATATATTCCACTCTTCCACAAAGAAAAAGAAAAAAGCAGATAAAATGTAAATGCAAAATGTTATATTCCAAAATTGAAGTGATTTCCAAACAGAGTTTAGAGTTAAGTTTCTGCTTCGGAAGACAGTTTGGTTTGTTTTTTTTTTTTTTTTTTTTTTTTTTTTTTTAGATTAACTTCAAGTCCAATTTTTACTCAGAATGACTAGTTGATGTCTCCTATTTGTACTTAACACAGACCCAGGTATAGACACTAGGCTTTGCAAATATTTAACAGAAATATGTTAAGTTCTATTTCAGAATGTGTTAATTGAAGAGTATAAAATTTCTAATACCTTAATGCATGCCTAAAGCTGAAATTTTGCTGATTAATAACTTGGTGTATTTTAAATGTTGTGTTAAAATTTATTAAAAAAAAAGTTGTCATTAGTTTGTTTCAGTCTGTATGGTACATTTATTCTTGCACTTAATCTGTTTCAGGATTTACAATTCAAGTTGGATTCATACCATTAATTATTTTATGTTTAGTAAAGGCATGATCACTTAATAAAATACATTAAATGTAATTCTTAATTTTTTTTAATTTTTTTTTTTTTTAAATCAGTATATGCTTCATTATATTCAGACTAAATGAAAATATTTCACCTTGAATCAATTGAACAAGTATCAACCATTTCTATTTTACTATCATGTCTGTTCAGATACCTCACAAATTACTGTAGCAAAACTAAGATACATTGGATAAAGTTTCCCACAGTCATACTTGCTTTGTCTATCACATGATTTTTCAAATATTTTGATCTTTTCATCAGATAGATTTGCCAATCAGATCTGTAAGTTTTCAAATATTCTCTGGTTTCTTAAAATAAATATCTTCTCTTTTTTCCAATATGCAGCATTTTCATTGTAAACAAAAGAGAAAGGGCTTAGACTAAAGTGGAGTATATTTGATCGTCTTACACAAAATAGTTGGAAATAATCCATAATATAAATAAGCAATAAAGTGATCTTGAAGAAGGAGGAACAATATATTTTGGTTTGTTGTACTTTAGATTTATTATAATATATAATAACCAATTTAGGTCATTTGAAATAATTTATTTACTTTATTTTTTGGTAATTCTTAATAAGTCAGCCCCAAACAATAAATACTCCCTCATTATTCCATAGTGATTCAATAAATAAAAAATACACTTTGTAAATTTTTTTTTTTATGATAAAGGTAATATTTACAAATGCTAATTATGTTGTTTTTCAAGGACATAAGACTTGTGCAAAATGTTTGCTATAATAAATAAATTTAATCTTATTAAACTTTAAAATATGAAAATTCAGAAAGTTTCTTCACAATAAGTTCTGTTTAAGCTTCAATCTCTCTCTCACTTTCTCTCAAATTTATTTTTTACAGTTTCTCATCTTATGATTGGATGACCACTTTTTCTCTAAATAGATTCTATGAAAGGAAACTGTTTATATTCAACATATTTGGGAGGGAGGGTTTTTTTGGAAGGCCCACACTGGATTTAGTTAACTGAATCCAGTTATTGTAATATTTATCATTATTAATATTTTCAGTCTAAAGATTTTGTGACAGTCATATACTTAATAGATACCATACATCATGATTGCCAAAAAAAAAGTTACAGTTTATAACATAATCTGAATTGGATTATTTGTAAAAACTTATGCCTGAAGATGTTGAATTTTATTAATCTAAAAATTGTAATTTGCTTTGTCCATCTGATTTTGAAAAAAACACATCTTTGTAATCCAAAAATTTATTTGTTCATATAGTTTTATTCTCATTTAACAAATTTCTTTAATCCAATTTGTTTTTCATTAACTTTGAATAGAATCTTTCTACTAAATGCAAGAAGAATATATACAGGGGAAAAAATCATTGTACTTGTAACACCTAGAAATTATACTGTTGAACATAACATGAAATCTCTTGAATGTTATAAGAGCCAATTGAAATATAGATAACTCTAAATATAGATCCTTATCCAGCTATAAACACATGCACTAAATTTAATAAAGTAATAGAAAATTTGGTAAGTATCTGTACTTGGGTAAGACAGAAATAACACTACAAAAATAGACTGTAACATGTACAAATATTTATAAAAATAAAATACTATGTAAATGTTATATATATATATATATATATATATATATATATATATATATACTTCAATGAATTTTAGTATTTGAACATTGTTTTTTTTCTTTTTGGAAATCAGTCATAATTTAAACCTATAAATTGAAACTTTCCACTATGTTACTAATTATAAGGCACCAACTTAAGTGTATCTTTGTTATTGCTTCAAAATTTTTTCCATATTAAAGATCTAAATTCATTAACTGTTGCTTAAGTTTCAGTGATATGTTTCCCTAAACTACCAATTTTATGAATGAAGAGTATATGAATCAGTCCTCAATGGCACCAATAGTATATTAGGTAATGTTATTAGCTCATGGCAAACCCATAACTAGTTTCTAAATTTCTACATGAAAATTACTCTTCTATCTTGTATTCTATTTCAGGCATTGGAATAGATGAGCTAGGAATAAAAAAATGAAACATGAATTGATTATGCAAAAGGCAACTTTTATCTAAAAGACAATATTGGTAATATTATGAATTAGCTTCATAGTGATATAATGAAAGAAATAGATCTATTCTTTGATCATCAGTATAGTCTGTATCTGTAAATGATTTCAGATTTTTCTCTCTTTGTCTTTGCTTATCAGAAGCTGTACTAAATACTGGACCAGTATGGAAGTCTTTTCTGAAAAATCAATATATTATTGATTTTTATCTCAAGAGATGAATCTAGGTCCGATTTTTAACTATTGCATCTTATTTGACATTAAAAGCATCAAAATGTTAGGTTAACTGTTTAAAGCTGTGAGGAAAAAAAACATTTATATATATATATATATATATATATATATATATATATATGCACTTTTGAAATGGAGAAAAAAATGTATATATTAAAATGTTTTGTCTGCATTGATAAGCCTTCAAAAATACAGCAAATTTGAAATATTTTTACGCTTTTGGACATTTAACTTTTGATCCTAATGGTATCCATTGTCAATTTATGTAAATAACTTTTTTCTTTTTTTTTTTTTTTTTTTTTTTTTTTTTTTTTTTTTCTTTTTGAAAAAAATTAATTTGTTTTTTAAAACACATTGGATGTAAAAAGTAAGATTTACAAATACAAGAATAGGTCTCATTAATATAACCACATTTGATCTTCAAAAGTGGTGTTAATTGAAGGTGCCATTAATTCAAAGAAGATTCTGTAATGTAATCAGTCCTGTCATCTCAACTTCAGTCACTTTCCCACTGCTATGACATGGCTTCCCTCTTTTTTTTTCTTTTTTTTCTTTTTTTTTTTTTTATAAATATTTTCATGTCAGTCACCATCTATCTTCTTGAATGCTGTTATTTTTTATTATCCTTTCTTAATCTTCTCTTTTCCTTCCACTCCCAGTAACCTTTTGCATCTTAGTAGCAGTATCACCTTGTTTAGGGTGAAATGATTAAAAAGAAATAAGAAAACCTATTAAAATTAAGAGGAGGAATTGATGGTCTTTATGAAAATACATTGGATCTAAAGAGCAGTACTTATTGTCTCAAAAGCTCATTAATATAACCATAGAAAAATGAAATCAAAAGGGTTTTTAAATTCAAAATATATAAATTCAAAATTTCATAAAACTTATTGAAACCTCATACTTATAATCTTTTTACTAACTAAAATTATTTTTTTATTTATCTAGTAATGTCATGAGTAATGTCATATTTATCTAGTAAAGTCATGTTAAAACATTTTTTATTTTGTGAATGATTACATATTAGCGCAATAAGTGCATGTAGAGTAAATGGATGCCAAAATTACCATTGTAGACATAGTGAAAAAAATATTAATTTAAAATTTGATCATTTCATATTTAGAAATCATGAAAACAAAACCAACTTATAGGAAATTTGTAATATCTCCTTCACAAACAGGATAACATTATGCAATCAAAGCCATCTGAAAGCTATTCACAGATCCAGGATGGAATTTCAAAAGATTTTGCAGTTTTTGTGGAAAATTTATTTTGGCACTCAATCTGTATGTTTTGAATTGGAAATGAAAGACTGCCAGTATGTTGAATTACAAAATTATATGTATAATGGGATAATGATTTTACAATACAAATAAATTTAAATCAGGAAGAAAGCGATTGTCAATGTTGAATTAATACCAGCATTACATATAGTACTATTAAATGCATGATGAAAGTGATTCTGATTTTATGGCTGTTAATGTGTTGACAGCAGGAAAATAATCAATGTGATCAACATCACAAGCTTTCTAGAAACAGTTTTTATAACTATTTCCACAACCTAATTCAGTCAATTCTAGCATAGGTAAAATTGGACAAAAAATATTTTATATTAACTTTACTATTTGTATAAGGATTTTTTCATTTTTTTTTTTTTTTTTTATTAAAAATCCAACCTTGAAAATTTACATCAGAAGATATGAATTATATATTTTTCATTTGTTTTATCAGAACATTAACAAAATGAAATAATAGCATTTTTAGCAAGTTACTCAAATTCCTATTCAGATAATTATAATTATAAATTGGGATCCATTGACAGTGAGCTTCATCTTTGCTAGAAATGTGGCCTTGTGTCATACTTGATTCAGTAAGTAAATCATAATTTTCTCTTGCTTTTTCAGAATGGTTTTACTACAATTCCATTTGCTGAAAAACAACTGGTCAGCGAGGTATCGGCCTTAATAAACCAAAATAAACAGTTGTTGACTCGAGTTGACCAACTTGAAGTTGAAGTCCAGGAGCTCGAGAAAAGACATGGCGAGATGGTTTCTGTCCAACAGCAGCATCAACAGCAGCAGCAAGAGCCATTACCATTAGGCTCAGAAAACCAGGCCTCGTCGTCATCCTCCTCAACACCTGAAGATTCAGTGTGTAAAGAGGAACCTCAAAAGGAAGCTGAATCAGTGATTCTAAGTAATACTGAAATTAGTGAAGAGGGACCTCCTGCTGTGGCCAGCAGCCTCACTGCAACTGTGAAGCCAAATGAGCAGCCACAATTACCAAAAGATGAAGAAAGAAGTGAAGAAGACAGAGAAGATGAGGAAGATGATGAAGATGATGATGATAATGATGAACTCCCAGTTGAGAAAACGGTGAAGAGTCAAGTCTACAAGCCAGATGTTTTCAGCAAAAAGATTGTTTGTAAGGTAGAGGACAACCGAGAGCGGGACAGTAAAGAAAGCAGTTCAGTGTCCCATTCACCTGATACAAAAACAGTTGTTGATCATAGGGAATCATCTTCATCATCTTCATCTTCATCATTGTACAAGCAGAATGGAACTAGGGAGCCTGTCACTATTTCCGTTCCAAAGTCTTCTTACAAGACCAACGCACACCATTCGCCTGACTACAAGGAGAAACAAGGAAATTCTCACAAGAGTTCAAGTGAATCCAAAGACAAGAAAAACTTTTCTGGTGTGAACCGTCTTTTGAATGGAGTTGCGGCCGAAACATTGAAGCATAGCAGTCAGAGCAGTTCCTCAAAGAGCAGCTACTCCGAACATAAGGTGTCATTTACCAATGCTAAGTCACCTCTGAAACTACGAATCACAAGCAAGTGTCTGGACAGCAGTGGGGATAAGATAGAACCGCCGACGTATGTGATAACTCCAGTGTCTGATTCCCATCGCCGTCATTCCCCTGCTAGCCGTCCCAGTAGTCGTAGCAGTTCAGAGTCTGCTAGCCCAAACAGTGAGGAACCCCCTCCAAACACCTGCACATTGAAGATCAGCTCAGCGATTCTGAATCGTCAGGGCAGTCTGAAGAACACAGACTATACAAAGTTGGGCTCACCGCAGTCAAGTTCCGATTCGCGATACAGCCCTTTCTCCGAGTACTCCTCGGAAACAACGTCTAGCAAAAGCTCCAAAAGCTACTGCTGCAAGCGATCAATTCAGTCAAAAGGTGAAACAAAAATCTCAATTCTAAAGACCTCAACACGGGACTGTGACTTCCAAGTGTCACCATCTTCTGTTAGCAGTCACTCGCACTCACACTCGCATTCTCACTCACACTCTCACTCACATTCACATTCAAGTTCAGAGAAGCGGAAAGAGAAACGGAGACACTCCTCTGGCAAATCTCATCACAGTAGTCACAAGCATTCACACCTGAATGAACCCAAAAACCCCAACAATGACATATTGAAAGATGATCGTGAAAATTCAACATCAGCAGTGTCTTCTACACCACTGATGAGCCACCCTCCTGCTGTGTCTTCAGATTCTTCAAGCCAGTCCACTCACAGAGATCTGAGTCCACATCGGACTGGATCTTCTGGATCGAGTGGAGGTAGGTGTTGTTTTATTTTCATCTCTGTTCTTTTTAGATTTTGAAAAAAATCAGTTCTATTATTCATCCTGGTTTTGTGGATCGACAGCTTTGTTACTTACATATATCTATCATCTAAGAATTAATTTCTTTTTCTCATTATTCTTATATAGCAAATACAAGTGTTGACATGATTAAATTACTTCCTTCAATTTCAATCCCAAATAACCAAACCCAGGCATGGTGCTTATTTGGCATGCCACACTTATTTTTTTTTTTTTTTTTCAAAATGTTTCCAGATGCCAGTGTCTGAACCAGCACATTCCCAGTGGAACATCTTTTTTTTTTTTTTTTTCTTAACTGGCATATTATTAGTTGAAAAATTCCCACCATCATGACTATTCCAGATGATACTTGTATTTAGTACAAAAGAGTATTATTAAAAGTATTGACATCCATCTCCTTTTATATATATATATATATATATATATACATATATATATATATACACAAATCAACCATTCGCCCTTGCATGAAGTATTGCTGCCATATATGGTCTGGGGCACCTTCTGTTTACCTCGGAGTTCTTGACAAGATCCAGAGACGGATATGTAATGTAATTGGCCTGATCTGGCGTCTGCCTGCAGTCACTCTCTCACAGACGCGCCGTCCGCCTCTCTCTGTCTTTTCTACAAATACTTTCATGGTAATTGCTCCGATGAGCTGCTTTCACTGGTTCCCAGACTCCATGAATTCAAGCGCCCTACGAGGCTGGCATCCCGCTCCCACCCTTACACTATAGAAACTTTTAAGTGTAGCCGTCTCTTCTACTCCAATAGCTTCACACTTCGCACCTCTCGCCTGTGGAACACCCTTCCCAATTGCTGTTTCCCTGAAAGCTATAATCTCCAACTATTCAAATGTAATGTCAATTGACACCTCCAGTTACCTTGATCTACCCACTATCCTTCTCCTCATCCTTTCTTCTATCACTCCTATCTGCTCTTGCTCCAAATCTTCTGCAACCCCCTGCATCCTAGTGGCTTCACGCCTTGCTCTGGGCGTAATGCTTAAAAAAAAAATATATATATATATATATATATATATATATATATATATATATATGCACACATTATACTTAGAGTATAATAGACACATAATGACACTGAACATTCTTTTTCTAGATGATTCTTTGTTTTTTGAAGCCTCGAATTCCTAAGAGATAAAATTTTGATGATTGTATAAAGTAAAGATAAAAAGAAAAAAAATGTCTTTGAAAAGCCAGTTTTCCAGATACCAAAGGTTTTGTATTGAATTTCCATTTGTTGGTAAATTAGAGTTGTAAATAAACTGTTAGAAACAAAGGGGTGGCTAGTATCTTTTTTTCTCCAAATGCTAAATGAAATGTTTGTTTTTCTCTATGCTTTATCAACCATTTGCAAGATATTTAAAGAGAAAATATTTTTAGATTGTAAGAATTTTTTTTTAAGATAATAATGGTTTAGTAATACAAATTTACTAATTAACCCATAGCTGGTGGGAGAAGAGATGGATTCATACCTTTTCTAAGGGTATTTTACATGTAAGTGAACATGACAAACCCAACAGGAATTGGATCTTGACACTTCGATTAACAATTCTGAGCCATTACCCATTACACCACTCACACATCCTAGCTTACAGCATCTGGTATTCCCACACATCACCTATTTAGGCTTGATGTTGCTTAACTCCAGTGATTGTACAGGAACCAATGTTTCAGTGTCATGTGGCCATAACCGACTAGATAAAATGTGCAGCTTGGAAAATTCATGAATATTTAATAATAGGGATGGGTGAAAATTTTCTGTCTTTAGTGTGGTATGTTGTTGGGTCGCATAACAACTGTAAGTCATTTTGGGCATGGGTTGTAACTTTAAATAAGTTACAAAAACAAGGATCATCATTTATGCACTCTTTCAATAAAATTTATGAATAGACCCATAAATATACCACTGTGTGTGCTTTTTCAGTATTTGCTTCTTTCATTTGTTAACCAATTCTGCTAAAGATTTTTGTCATTGTTATAAATATTAACTCCTTTTAAAAATTCAATGGATTGTATTAGTAATAAAACACCTTGTCCTAGAATGCTCATAGCTTAAAGAGAGAGGATTTCCTGAATATTTAATACAAAGCTGGTTGTCCTAGGTGGATTTTTCTCTTAAAATGAATAATTGTCTTGGCCCATAATATTTGAAACTCAAAGATAATTTTCTAACTATAAAACAGCTAAAATAACACATTGCAATAAGATTTTTGTTAGGGGAATAAAAGAATAGGATTCAAGAAGATAGAAAAGATGAAAATTGATGTTGCCTTTTAAACTTTTGAAGATTCTAAATGACAGGAAAGTAAAAAAAAAAAAAAAAATCAGAAGAGTTCCACAAGTGAGATGTGCAAGAAAAGAATTTAAAAAAAAAAAATTTTTTTAATAATATGAATTTAATATAGATAAAAAGTCCTGTCTGGTCAAATAAGTTGGCCATAAAAATTATATCTGCATATATCTCAGCTATATGAAAAAAATTGGACTTGTAGTTCCAGTTTTTACTTTTCTATTAATCATTAGCATATTGAAATTAAAGGCCATTGTTTAGCCAAAAATGTTTCTTTTATGCCCCTGAATATGTCATACATATTCATTTACCATCTGTTCCACAGTAACTTTTCTGATGGTTTTTTTTTTTTTTTTACTTGTGAAAAAGACATCTATTCACTTTTCACATTAACAAGTTCTGGCCACCCAATGTTTTGTCAGCTATTGATTATATTTTTTTTTTCCTCTTTGAAATCTCCCTTGATATTTTGACTACTAATTTAAATAACATTTGTTTGTCGATTGAAAGACTGAAATAGTTAATTATCTCTTTTAATCATTATCTAAATAAATACATATTTTTTGTGTTCTGTCACTTCCTTAAGAAATGAGCTCTACTCTATTACCATAAATTACCTTCCTACCAACATATCAACTTTTTTCTTTTCTTTTTTTTTTAATTTTCACAATGTAGGTGATCATTATACTCTTTATTATCTATGACTTGTCTTGATATTTTAGGAATGATGCTGGAGTGGTTTCCCATTGTTTTCCTTACAGCTTGTAATTCGGAGTAGTTCTTTTAGACTGGCTGCTGTTAAAGATTAAAGAGTTCAGTTTGCCCTGAAATTTAACCCATTGCTGGGTGGGGAGAAAAGGTGGATTCAGGTCTTTCTCAAGGGTATTTGTGCAAAAGTGAACACAGCAGACTAAGAAGAAATTTGAACTTTATTCTTTTATCACACTCTCCATACTGATAACCATTATGGTACCTGTGTAAAATCTCTTTTGTATACTATTCATTGAAAAAGTTTAAAGCAAAATATTACATGAGATTATATATATATATATATATATATATATATATATATATATATATATATATATAGCAGAACCAGCATTTAGCCCTGCATAACTTTTTGATTTTTCTATAGCCACAGGATTACAGTCATATATGAATGTATTGGGCTGTAACAAAAGTTTGTAGCATTTTTAAATGAATTTCAAAAGACTAGATATTTGTACATAGATTTATTCAATCACATATGTACCATTTTGTTCTACTGCCTTTCGCCATCTTTGAGGCAACTTCAAGATTCCATTATCCCAGAAACTTGCATCTTTCTGGGTGATGAACGGGTCTAGATAGTTTTTACTTATTTAATTTCTGCCAGTTTTGCAAAAGGACTTGAGGTTTGGTGTTGTCTTGATGGAAGGCAACACCTTTCTTATTGGTGAATTCTAGATGCTTTTCATTAATTGCTGCCTTTTAATTGATCCAATTGGGAACTACTTGTCTGAATTTAATGTCAGATATTGTGAAAGAAACTTGTAATACACAATGTTTTTCTTGTCTCACCAGATATACTGCATTACCATCAAAAGCAAACTGTCTTTTGGAATGGTTAATGGTGGCTCGTTTATTTTTTCCCAGGACCTTTTTCACTTCGTATTGTTTTAAACCACCTATTTTTTTCATTGCCTGCCATCATTCTTTTCAAAAATGGGAAAACAGAAAATTTGCTGATGAAAATACAGTACATTAAATTTTCTCCATTAACTCATTAGGCATCCAAAATAACACCGGGATTCATGTGTCTAAATGTTTTCAATGCCTTACAATTCTCATGAAATATGTAGCGTATCTCTGTGATGTCATGTGACTGGGGTTAGTTTTAGTCAGTGTTTTGATTTGATCATCAGGAATAACAGCAGGCCTACTGGAATGTTCTTGATTTTCCAGATCAAAATTTCCACTTCACAATCTGTTGAACTGTCTGTGAACAGTGCTTTCGGCTATGACACCATCTCTATAAATGGTACATATCTTTTTTGCTGTTTCTACAGCATTTTCCTTTTTCAAAAATAAGAACATCAAATTGCAAAAATGCATCTCATTCTCATCCATCTTTACTTTTAACATACAAACATTTAAAATTCACAATTTACACGAGTTGTATAGAAAGATGCATTGAAATCTCATCTTTCAGAATATGTATAAATGCAATAAATTTCAGTCATGTATGAAATGAAATCATTTGTTCAAATTCCACTTACTAAAAAATGCTACAAACCTTTGTTCCAACATTTTCACAAAAAAAAAAACACTTTTATGAAGCCCCTTGAAAATAAGAATGTTTATCTTCCTATGAAAAAAAAATGTAAATAAATTTTTTTAAGTGCAAATTATATGATTTGTTATTAAGGTATGAATTTTTGTTTTATTCTTGAAAAGCAATGATGCATCATTGAGGTATTTCTGTAGGGTCTGTTAGAATTCAGTAATTTATAACAATATTTGATTTTGTTTGATATGGATAACATAATACGTTTGAAAATGGTGTTAAAATATATACAAGAGTATATCATGTGAGACATGAGAAAATATAACCACTAAAATGGTTTCAGATCTTGGTTGTCTCACCTTTGCTGTAATTTTGTTCTAAAAAAAACATTTACCTAAAATTTTATTTATTCTTTGTATTGGTTTGTTATTTGTTTAACATAATTAAATATAGGAGGAGAGCAAGTGCAATCCAGTGCAATTACTGATTCTATTAACAATCATCTCTTTTGTTGTTGCTGCCCTCTAATATGTTGTCTGTTGTCTAACAGATCCATAAGCTTAATTGGCATTACATCAAGGTGTTGTGTTCAAGCATAAAAATACTCTTTGCGAACTAAAAGATCAGCTGTTCTTTTAATACCAGATTGATGAAATCTACAACAGCCAGAATCAAAGGAGATGTGGAAAAATCTGGTATGTTAGAGAAGGATACATATGACCTTCTGTGATGAGGTTCAGATAACTGAGCATTGTTGGAGAGTGAGAAAGTTAAAGGAACCAGCATATATCAACTTGTCAATCTGGTATATAGTATAGATTTCATTGGGCAATTCTGTGCAGTTTGTAATTTGGGTACATGGGTATCATTACATGGCTTTGCTGAAATGAATTGATCTGGTTAATATATTAATGACTACTTTATCTGTTGCCCCCCCCCCTTCAAAAAAGCCGGTTGGGTTTCTTTGTTATCATGAAATATACATTTGACAAAGGCTAAAGAATGAACCAGCCCCCCAAAATTGTTAAAATCAAGTCTACAAAGGAGTTTATTCCAAACCATATTTGGAAAGTCTAAGTTGTGGCTTACCAATATCTGAATAATTTTGTTTCCAACTTTTTATTCACCTGGATTTGAATTTTTTTTTTTTTTTTTTTTTTTAAACACTCCAGTGTCTATCTACATCTAGATATCCAAGTGTTTTTTATTGGTGAGACTTGGAACAAACATTGTTCGCAAATGAATGGCCTTAATGGTTAATGTTGAAATCAGAATATTAACTCCGGTGTTGAATGTAGTCTTAGAAGCTACACTCCACTGAAACAATTATAATTCTTTTCATTCTGAACGGATTCCATCTGATTAATCAATAGATTTCACTCTTATTAGTTGAGTCTTAAAATCACTGAAGTCTTCACTAAGCAGATATGGAGATTATTCATTTCTTTGTGGCTTTATGAGGAAAATATAGATAATAACATTGTTACTGTAGTGCTTAAAACATTTTAAGAATTTTGATTATCTTAGATATTTTTTATTTTTAATTACTTTAAAAAAAAAATCATCAAAGCTTTTATAAGTGCACAAATAGTTTGCTTGATGTAAAGAGCAATCATAGAAGACATGCTCAGAATGTAAATTTATATCAGTTCAACTAAAAAAAAAATAAGTAAATACATAAACATTTAGGGAAATTGTACACTTTTAAAATTGGGGCTTACTCCAGAAAGCAATTTGGCCTGAAGGATACAACTCAATTTTGATCTGTAGAATTTTGAAAAATATAAACAAAATTAAAGTAACCCTCAGCCTGTAGGCCATAAGAGTAAATTTTCAAAAACTATTTTGGAGAGAAAAATAATAGCATCTTGCCATTATTTTGATATATTTGTTAAATACAATAATTTATATATATTTTAAGATTATTGTGTTCTGTCAAAGTTGAAAATGAGTGTAACAGGTGGTGAGATACTTAATAGGGAATGGTTTACCCAATTATTTATTCAACCAATCTCTTGTCCATCAACTATTGTGACATGTGATTGATGAGATGTTTATTTAGTTTTGTTCTTTTTTTTTTTTTTTTTTTCTTCTCAAGGGCCTTAGTCTGAAAACAATGAAATTAACAAAATTTAATTTTTAGCTCAGTTTGCAAATTCCATACTCTCTAACACCAACCCACCCTTTTTTTTTTTTTTTTTTTTTTTTTTAAACATGTTTTCTAATTTTATTTACCCGCAGGCTCCAGAAGTAAACGACGAAAAGACTCACATGAGTCTCCCAAAAAGAAATGGCAATTGCAACAACAAATGGAAACGGGGAGCAACCTTGATGCATTGGCCAAATATGCATCATATGAGGTTGAGCGCAACCGTCTGAAACGGAGGAAGAGCCCAGAGAGTGAGTCGCGGCGAAAACACTCACGTAAGGAGAGCATTCAGATAGATGAGGAACGTATCCGGCCAAGGATTACCACATCTCTGATCAATGGACCACGCACCCCTCCTGGCACCCCTCCATCAGACATTGGGCAAGATGGAAACACACCTCCCGATTCCCCTGATCCTATGGACAGTTCTCATTCTTGGACTGGAGTCTGGAAGAGTAGCCCCAGTCTTTCCGACAAAGAGAAAGTCAGCTACACGTCTCACCACAGTATGGACATCAATCAGGAACATCGACTATCATCAGAACGTAAATCAAGTCCATCATCGCTTGGCGACAGCTTGGACCCATCTAAATCCTGTAATACTGTCCTGGATGAATGTGGCAAGTCGTCTAGCTCGGGCCAGCACTCGGACCACTACTCTTCAACTGGTCTACAACACAATATGTCCAACTACTCCTTGGACGTCGATGAAATATCTGCTGAGAAGCATTTCAAGAAACGATATTTCTCCAAGAGTAAACAGTGGAACCAGCACAGTAGTAGTAGCAGTAGTTGTAGTAGTAGTAAGAGCAAGCGATCACATAAGCATTGGGAGAGTGATCCATCTATATCTCTGAGTAGCAAAAATGACCCTGATAATTACAAGAGCCAAAGCTTTGAAATTGTCAATCGAGGTAACTTAACTGGAGGTAAAGTTATATTGAACCGGCTACTTACACAAGATAACGATCCTGTCTATAGGATCTCGGACTCCCATTTGTTAGAGCAACGAAACTCAAGTAGTATACACAGTAAGCACCATAGCAAATCTTTGACTGTTGGTACTGAATTGTCTCAGGGAGAGGGAATTTCAACTGCTGGATCCAGTAAAAGCTCCAGTAAGTATGCTTTCATATCTACTACTTAAAAATAAAGCTGCATATGTGTCTATTGATGTCTTACAGGTAGCACTATCGGAAAATGTCATGAAGATGTATCATATTTGCTGACATATAAGACATCCTTTCCCTACACCTTCTTCCCCATCTAAAATCTGTCTAAAGAAAAATATCTTCCAGAGCTTTTAATCAAAGTTAACATGATGCTTACTTTGATACTATCAGTATTTGTGTCTAGCCTAATTCCATCAAACTGTAATATGAAATGTGAGTCATGTATGCCATTAAGTAGGTTACTTCATCTTAACAAATTTTGGCACAAGGACCAAATTCACTGACCTTGGAAAAGGAAAGAAGCCTATCAGTTTACAGTTAAATTTTATTTGTATATACATTACTTAATTTTATAAGTAAAATATTTTAATATTTGGCTTTCAGAAAAAAAATCAGATTATTGAATATTTAATTTCTTGTGTCAAATTCTTTTTTTCTTTTTCTTTTTTCCTTTTTTTCCTTTTTCCTTTTTTTCCTTTTTCCTTTTTTTCCTTTTTCCTTTTTTTCCTTTTTTTCCTTTTTTTTTTCCTTTTTCCTTTTTTTCCTTTTTCCTTTTTTCCTTTTTCCTTTTTTTCCTTTTTTTCCTTTTTTCCTTTTTTCCTTTTTTCCTTTTTCTCCTTTTTTTTTTTTCCTTTTTTTCCTTTTTCTCCTTTTTTTCCTTTTTCTCCCTTTTTTCCTTTTCCTTTTTTCCTTTTCCTTTTTTCCTTTTCCTTTTTTCCTTTTCCTTTTTTCCTTTTTCTCTCTTTCCTTTTCTCTTTTTTTTCTCTCTTTCCTTTTCTCTCTTTCCTTTTTCTCTCTTTCCTTTTCTCTCTTTCCTTTTCTCTCTTTCCTTTTTCTCTTTTCCTTTTCTCTCTTTCCTTTTTTTCTCTCTTTCCTTTTTTCTCTCTTTCCTTTTTCTCTCTTTCCTTTTTCTCTCTTTCCTTTTTCTCTCTTTCCTTTTTCTCTCTTTCCTTTTTCTCTCTTTCCTTTTTCTCTCTTTCCTTTTTCTCTCTTTCCTTTTTCTCTCTTTCCTTTTTCTCTCTTTCCTTTTTCCTCTTTCCTTTTTCCTCTTTCCTTTTTCCTCTTTCCTTTTCTCTCTTTCCTTTTTTCTCTCTTTCCTTTTCTCTCTTTCCTTTTCTCTCTTTCCTTTTCTCTCTTTCCTTTTCTCTCTTTCCTTTTCTCTCTTTCCTTTTCTCTCTTTCCTTTTCTCTCTTTCCTTTTCTCTCTTTCCTTTTCTCTCTTTCCTTTTCTCTCTTTCCTTTTTCTCTCTTTCCTTTTTCTCTCTTTCCTTTTTCTCTCTTTTTTTTTTCTCTCTTTTTTTTTTCTCTCTTTTTTCTCTCTTTTTTTTTTTCTCTCTTTTTTTCTCTCTTTTTTTTCTCTCTTTTTTTTTTCTCTTTTTTTTCTCTCTTTTTTTTCTCTTTTTTTTTCTCTCTTTTTTTTCTCTTTTTTTTCTCTCTTTTTTTTTTCTCTCTTTTTTTTTTTTCTCTCTTTTTTTTCTCTTTTTTTCTTTTTTTTTTCTTTTTTTTTTTTTTTTTTTTTTTTTTTTTTTTTTTTTTTTTTTTTTTTTTTTCTCTTTTTTTTCTCTTTTTTTTTTTCTCTCTTTTTTTTTCTCTCTTTTTTTTTCTCTCTTTTTTTTCTTTTTTTTCTTTTTTTTTTTTTTTCTTCCTCTCTCTCTTTTTTTTTCTCTCTGTGAGATAGTCTATATAGCTGCTACGTTTCTCTAAGCAACTGTCATTTTCTATAGTGCTTAAAAGAGGTTCATGGGATTGATGTATGCAGCTTGACTGAGTACTACCTAAAGTATGTTTTGTAATACTCGCATGAAAGAAAAAAAGCTATCTATTCTTTTGTGGGCTATGAAATTGCCACATTAAATATCTGCCCTTGTATCATATTTCCTGTCTGTGTCATTACAGATAAATATTTTTTTATGGAATATTTTGGATCAATTAATGTGATTTCACTTGCATTTTCTTTAGAAATATTATCTTAATATGGCTTCAACCAAATCATTTAAAAGTTGCTCTTTTCAAGTCATCCATAATATTTTGAATTTATTTAAAGACATGCATTGGAGTCTATGCCATTATTAACTGAAATTGAATGTGAAATTTTCTGTTATGTTTGATCTATAAGATTAATAAAGAAGAATTGGGCTAAGTGGATTGACAAGGAGAGATTATATTGAAAAATAAATTCTTTCTTCATCCTCAATCTGTAGACTTATTGATGTACCTAAGTGTGGGTGTGTATGGAGGAATGCTGAAAAGATTTTGGCTTGACCGACTTCTCAATCTGACTACATGATCAAACATCAGATATTTTTTTTGATTTTTTTCAAGGGTTTTTGAGTTGGACCAAGAATTTTTCAACTCTCCCTTAACCTTTTGCTTTACACAAAAATAATAAAATGTACAAATCTCTCAGTAAAAATGTATGCATGATTTATTTAAGTCATGAGTTAATTAAATGCCTACTTAATATAGAATAAATGCTATATTTTGTTTAGAAAGAAAAGGATTAAATGTTTGTTTGAATGGCATTTTATTTATTTAAAGCATTCCTAGTTTTTAGGTAACAAATATAACAAAGCTGATAAAATGTGGTTGATGTTTTTTTGCCCAATCAAAAGTGATGGATTTTTATATCATACTAAATTATGTTTCAAGAAAATTGGTTCCTACATACCATGTTGAAATTAAATTAACTTAAATTTCATGTATTAACTCATAATGGCTCATAAAAGTGGTGTTTGTATATATTTTCTTTATTATAAAAATGTGTAAATTAACATTCAAACAAGAACCATAGCTGATATTAACAAACAGTATATAAATTTTGAAACATAACCTGTATTTTATACCAATTCAAATCTAGGGCATTCTTCCTCTTGTTGAGGAACCCCACCCTGATTGACCATGTCTTCAGTCGTGTAGCTGTATTCACCATGCTTGGCTAATTGCAAATTTGATGGTTTTATATTCATAGTTAAACTCTAAGAGTGGTTGTCACCCAAGAATATAGGTCTCAGTCTGTCCTGTTATTCACTCATAGCTAGGGAGAGAAGAAATGGATTCATACCTTTTATAAGAGTATTTGCACGTAAGTGAATGCAACAAACCCAACTGGAATTCAAACTCAGTTCTCAGTTTCTTCAACCTTAGCTGCCAAACATTGCTTCACAGTGCCTTCTATACACTTTGAATAAAAATAAACTTTGCTAAAAAAAATAAACCTTCGCTAGCCTATAAATAGACAGTGACAATATCCGTCATCCTCTTTTTCCTATTTCACCCAGGGACGATAAGATATAGGTCGCCACATGGAGAATTCCACCCCAGCACCTTTCTCTTCACTTTCCGTTACTATTCTCTAAGACTCCTTCTACACAACTTCACACACAAACAATTCACTAGTTTAAATGTTTTCTTCATTCATGTTCATTGTTTTGTCATATGCAACAATATTCTATTGTCTATGTATACATCTGTCTTGTTAATACATGCTTATCATTTGTTTTTATATATATATATATATATATATATATTAGCAGTAGAGCCCAGCGTTGCCCGGGGATATAACAGTAAGAGATAGATCAAGTATCCACCATCATAAAGATTGAAAAATAAAATTGACAAAAATTATTGTTTAAGGTTGATGAACATGCATGTCTTAATTATTTTTTTTTTTTTTTTTTTTTTTTTTTTTTTTAATTGGTCAAACTCAAACAAAAAAACATTGTTTTCAATTGTTATGAGTCTCCCAATTGAATAGAATTTTATTATAAATAATTGTCTTGTAAATGGAATTTTTAAAGCATTCTGAATGTTAAAAATAAAAGAAAAAAAGTGTGCAAGAGAATAAAAACACTACCTGCCAAAAAAAAAAAAAAAGTGAAATTTTGTTTTATTGACTGAAAATATAGGAAATCCGATCCCATATTTAATGGTACCCACACACACAAACAACCCGACGTGAGTTGTCCCCCATTCATTTTCACGATGTCTCGAACCAATATTTGATTAAAAGGTTTCATTCAATTTTATAATTTGTTTTGTGCTTAAATGCCATTAAAAATAGATATGGTAGGTTAAAACTATTTTAATTGAGTTATTATTTCATAATCTAACTCCTTTGCCATTATTCTCCACCCAATAACAATCCAACCAGACTTTGGATTTATGTAGATTAGAGTATTTCTTATTACTTTAAATGTTATATTTAGTGGATACACATGTTGGAGTAGACATCTCTGTTTTTAAACAGTGTAAATTTATGTCTGCTGGCACATGCATTTGAGTCTAAAAGAAAATGTGAAAAAGAGAAGAAAAGAGATGTGCATTTCTTAAAATAGGGTAATTAAACTTTAAAAAAAAAAAAAAAAAACAGGAATGTCTACTCAAACACATTTATCCACTAAAGTAATCAGATTATATTGTAAATAAAAATCCATTAATTTTTTATATATTAGACAATGAAAACTTGATTATTATAAAATTTTTGGATGCCAAATTTTTAAACAAGAATTACAACTTCCCTCCTCACCAGAGGCGACTTAATATTTTTAATTTTGTCCTTTCTGAGAAATGTTTAAATCTTTTAGACATCTAAGTATTAAACCATAATTGATATGAAATAAAATTCAAGTTTTCACTTTACTACATTGCTTCTGATGAATATCCCAAATCATCTGAAATTTCCAAGCATTGTTTAAATGCTTGGAAATTTCAGATGATTTGGGATATTCATGGGAAGGCTGGAGCATGGATCAACCAAAATGTTGTGGTAACAACACAAATGTGGCGTGTTTTGACATAGAGTAATGGTTAATAATCTAGTTTTGTTGACTGGTTGAGTAGTGAATTCTGTCATCACTGCATGCCTCCTGTTTGTGACCTTGTTCCAAGCTAAGCTATACTTATTAAAAAAAACTCCAAACTAGATTGCTAAACAAAACTTGTAGTGTTAATGACTTTTCTCAATGCTATAGATAATAAATGTTAACCTAGAAAGGTTTTTATGAAATTTCCCATGAAATTTTCATCAAAATCTTATTGTTTCAAACGTTTCTCTTAAAAATGCCTGAGGATGTATAGAAAACCAGAAAGCCTTATCAAGTGTTTACTTATGTTGTACTGCTGAAAAATTAACAGAATATATATATCATATGATTTTCCTTCTCTTCTTTGTATCTAAGCTGGTAAAGATTTTGTTGTATACACACACACACACACACACACACACACACACCCTCTTTCTTTCTCTCATATATATATATATATATATATATAGTTAAATATAACGGACAATCTATTTTGTTTGATCATGAGCCGTTCTAAATTTCATATTAATTTGAGGAGAAAGTAAAGACAAAAACTGCCCAACATTTGGATATTTTTTTATTATTATTATGCTTTATTATTATCAATCTAAGCTTTTGGCTCACATGAGCCATCATCAGAGTGGTTATATGGACATTACAACAGATGTGCACCATCAAAGATGACATCCTGTTGTGTTTACATAGACTTGCTATGCGTTGATAACGGCCGCAGAATATATATATATATATATACATATACACACACAATATTCTAAACAGTTTTACAAACTCAACAAAGCATTTGAATTCTGCAGTTTAATTTTTAGATCAGTCTGTTCAATATCTGTTTTTTCAGACTGGTATAATTCTGTTTCTCTGTACACATTTAATTCCCCTCTCCTTCCTTCAGACACTTTCTTTGCTATTTTTAAGTACATTTTTTAAATAATCTTTCTGGTAGAGAAGCTCAAAAAATTTCTACTTAATGACTCCTTTTCAACCAGTAAATTTCTAAAAAAGTGGCCAAAAAAGAGAGATTACTGATTGAAATGTGTTGTTTTTGTTTGTTTGTTTGTTTGTTTTTTTTGTTGTTTTTTTGGTGGGGCGAGGTAATTAAAATGGTATCCTGGATCTTAATTCATTATACCAAGAAGCAAGTAAAAAAAAAAAAAAAAAAGAAAAAAAGCAAAACATTGGTTTTCTCAGAAAGCATTTAGGTTTCTCTCTCTCTTCTTTTTTTTTTGTAATTCACAAGAAAAAAATCTTTCTCCCCACATGTAATTCACATTCATAGCAATGTGGAATGGCAAACCTGATTTTTCACAGTTCTCATCCACAAGCTTATGCCACCTATCAGCCTCTTTCCAGGAGTCTATAACAATTCAAAAACTAAAATATTTTTAAAAAGTATTCTTGTTTGGCATTATGTGACAAATATATAATAACTGAATTAATATTTTCTAAAATTATTTAAAACCCACAACCATGTAATTTGTAAAAAAAAAAAAAAAAAAAAAAAAAAACAAATAAATAGCAATCTGCATAAATGAGCTTTTCATTGCTTCCTGGTACAATGGGTTAAAATATCTCATGAACAATAGAAACCTGTACATGTTTAAGTATTTCATACCGTTTTTTTTGTTCTTGTTTTTCAGGATTATCAACAAATCCAAGTAAAAGCTGTAGCAGCAGAAATTACTAAAGCTCCTCCTCCTTCACTTCATTCACCAATCAATGAAAGCCATTCATTCATGTCATCATTCATTATTATCATTTCCACCACCACCACAAATTATCATTACTGTTATTCATTTCTACTTCAAATAATCATAAAAAAAAAAAAAAAATATTCCATCTACAAATTTCTTCATTCTTT